ACTGCACATTGATATATCTCTCTTTCTCTTTCTCTCTCCCTTCCCCTAGCTCTAAAAATGTAAATAAATAAAATCTTTAAGAAAAATAAAATATTTATTGTTTCAGATATATAATTTTAAATGCAGTCTGCCTTATGTCAGCGTAAATTTTTTTCTACATTTTGGTTTTTATTTAATTTTTTATACTTTTTACTTTGAGATATTAGATTCACATGCAATTGTAACAAATAATACAGAACCCTGGCTGGCATGGCTCAGTGGATTGAGTGCTGGTCTGAGAGCCAAAGGGTCACCAGTTCGATTCCCAGTCAGGTCACATGCCTGGGTTGCCGGCCAGGCCCCCAGTTGGGGGCATATGAGAGGCAACCACACATTGATGTTTCTCTCCTTCTCTTCCCCTCTCTCTAAAAATAAATAAAAAAATAAAATCTAAAAAAAAAATACCAAGAGATCTATATAATCTTCATTCAGTTTCCCCGAATAACATCGTTACTATTGTACAATAAACACAACCAGGAAATCAACTTTGATACCAAACACTGACCTTACTCAGAATTCAGGAGGCTTATAAGTATTCAGTTGTGTGTTTATATTGAGTTCCAAACAATTTTATCATATGTGTAGATTTGTGTGTTTAAGATATAGATAAGATACAGAACAGATCCATCACAAAGCTCCCTCCTGTTACCTGTTCATAGCTACAGCCACCTCCCCTGGAAAGCCCCTGGCAACCACTCATCTGTTCTCCATCTCTCTAATTTTGTCATTTCAAGAATGTTATATACATTGAATTATATAATATGTAACATTTGATATTGACTTCTTTCATTCAGTATAATTCCCTTGAGAACCATCCAAGTTGTTGCACATATAGTAACAACTATATTCATTGATACTAAACAGTAATGCCATGGTATAGATGTGCCGGGGATTTGTTTAACCATTCATCCATTGGAAAGTTGTTTCGAGATTTGGCTATTATGAATGAAGCTTCTATGAACATTTGTATACAAATTTTTCTTTGAGCCTAAGTTTCTTTTTTTGCCAGTTTGCTTGGTTTTAAATTTTATCAAATGCTTTTTCTGCCATTTATTGAGATGATCATATGTTTCTTTTTCCTATTCTGTTAAAGTGGTGAATTATACTGATTTTTGAATGTTAAATTAGCCTTATATTCTTGGGATAATTTAACTTGGCCATGATGTATTCTCCTTTTTAATGTATCTTTGATTTGATTTGGTAGTATTTTGTTTAGAATTTTTATGCATGTGTCTGTCTATAAAGGATGTTGACCTAAAATTATTAGTCTTCTAATAATTACCAGTCTTCTTTAATGTGAGTGTCCACCCTTCTGCCTGGAAGTTAAAATCCACCCAGAGCTCTGTCCTGTCTCTCTCATCCAAGACTTTATAACTCATTGTTTTTTCCTGGCAGAGTGACACCTTTATACCTCTATTCCATAACGCTTGACCCAAAGAGGTAAACAGGTTGGAGAAGTTGACCTGCTTCATAGCTTCTTGCTACCCTCCAATCAGTTATGCTGTGAATTCTGTAAATTGTTTTCGTTCTTCCTGCTGTTTTCCACCTCTGGGCTAAGTTTATTCTGAAGGCTGCTCTGACCATTTGCAGTAGCCCTATACTCTGGTCATGTAGGGTTATGGTCTCCTCTTCTAAACTGACTCTATCATCTTGCAGTGATTCCTCATAGTTTTAGTCCTAAGGACATTTCTTTTTTTTATTATGGATTTTTAAAAAATGGCATTTTTGTTCTTTGCAGGGCTTTGGGGAAAGGAGAGCTTGCTCAGCCAGCCATCTTGATTGAGTCAACGATTACGTTTATAATGACATAAATTTAATAAAAAGAAAAAATTCAAACATGTAGCAAAAATGAAATATTGATGAAAAGATTGAAGAAATTATGTTTTTTCTTTTGAAGAGTAGATGCAATCACAAATGAAGATTGGCAGTTTAAATACATAAAAATTAAAGCTTCAATAAACAAAACTTCAGACCAGGAATATATGTACATGAAGTGGTAAAGGCATATGTTCGTGATGTTGCTGGTTTCTCTTTTTTCTGCTCTTTGGGAGAAGAAAGAACACGTGGGTTCTGAAGGCAGTGTCTGCCTTGTGTGCATAAGCTCCATTGAGTCCGCATTAGCCTGTGGCTGCAACAGACGCGGCGTTGGCCGCTGAGGGAGAAGCAGGCCGAGGATGTCTGACGGAGCTCTGAGAAAGCATCCGAAAGGATTTTTTATTGCAACTTTGGCTCAGTGATTTTCATTGTTATTCTAAATTTGTTTTGTATTTTTCCAATGTACAATAATGTGTCACAGAATTTTTGGATAATATAAAAGAAGTGATAACCCTCAACCCCAGTCCTAACCACTGCTAAGACTTTGGTATATTTCTTATAGTATTTTTAAATCATAGCTTTAAAGCAAAATTAAAGTAACATGGTATTGTTTTTCTTCCAGTCCAAAAGTAATCCCTACTCAAGGAGAAAATTTTGAAAGTAAAGACCAGCACTAAGGAGAAAAAAAAACAAAAATCACTCATAATAACCACCCAAATATAACCACAATTAAATTTGATATATATCCTTCCTGTATTTTTTATGAATATATACAGGCACTTTTTTTGCTTTTAATATGGTGTCATAATCTAGTACTATTTTGTACCTTGCTTTTTTTCATTTGCAGTATATTGTGAATGTTTTTGTATGTCAGTAAATATTCTTGTATATACTTTTTAGTGTTACATAGAATATGAACACATTTAAATTAAGTATGTTCATGGAGCATACTTAACCATTCCCCTCTCATTGAACATTGAAAGTGTTTCTGATTTTTTGCCATCATAAATAATATAATGAGTATCTTTGTCCTACATTCCCCATACATCTATGATTGTTTCTTTAGGAATAAGTTCCTAGAAGTGGAATAGCTGGGTAAAAGGGTAGGTACATTTTAATGCTTTTGGTACATAATAATGTCAAATTTTAAGCTAATCGCTTGTTATATTCTGTCTTGTATTGGTATATAATTGTTTTATATGTCTGTCTTGTCTCCCTAATTAGAATATAAGCTTCTTGAGGGCAAGGGAAGTTTCCCACACATCCTGCGTATCCTTTGACTGTGTGGTTCATGGTGCTGGACTCATGAGTGATCAACAAATACTGTGTTGATTTGAAGCTGTGGTTTTATGGGCTTTTGAATGTCATAAACCTGTAAATTGAAAAATATATGTATTTTGGGGACACAATAGGCTTACAAATTTTCTGGTTTTCTAAGAAAGAATATTAAAAAACAAAATTTCCTACCTTCATTTCCTCAACCCTCATCTCATAAAATAAAGAATGTTTAATAACAAAAAGTTTATAATCTCTGAAAAAAGGACAGGCTTTTAAATGGACCATTTTAGTGTTAAAAGAAAAACTCACTGCCTTATCATAGTTTTCTCATTTTGTGTTAGACTGGTGAATCTTCACCTCAGCCAATTTGTGGTCTGTAGACCAACATTTGGGAACTACTGATTTAAAATTTTAAAAAAATTATTGATTTTTTGAGAGAGAGAAGAAGGGAAACAGAAAGAGAAACACCAATTTGTTGTTCCACTTACTCGTGCATTCAGTGTTGTCTCTTGAATGCGCCCTGACTGGAGATCAAAGCCGTCGTTTTGGCAGGTCAGGGTGCTGCTCTAACCACCTGAGCTACCCAGCTAGGGCCTGGGAACTACTGATTTAGAAGACTTAAAGGATTAAAACCCTTTTGCAAAATAAATCATTCTTCTCTTTGCCCACAAGTCTGTCACCTTCACAATATCAAGTACACATGTGCAGGTAATGCCATTTTTAATTACACAGTGTACAAGTACTACAGGAAACAAACCCAGACTTTGCTGATGAACATCGAAACATATTTCCAATTGCCAACACCAGAAAATGCATTGGAGACAGGTTAAGTGTGATGTGGAAAGAAGGCAGGTTTTAGAGTCACAGGGCCTGGGCTCGAATCCTGACTCGGGCATTGTCACGTATTTCCCTTTAGCTTTCTTATTTTACATAAGATAAATCTTCCTCAAAGAGTTTTTATAGCTCCAGCTATAGCAATTATTCACTGTAATGAAATGATTTGTTTAGACATCTGCCTTCCTCATGGGGAGTCATAGCTTGCTTTCCCTGCTCTAGAGCCTGGCCCAGGGCTCAGGGCAGAGCGGGCCAATGGAAAGGCTGCGGGGTGGATGGATACAGGATTGTTGGGAGGGTCAGAAGAGGCGAGGTGTGAAAGCTCATCCTGAACTTTAAACTCTCTGCAAATGTGAATTGTTTTTACAGCTAATAAGAGCTGTCTTTGGGGGCAATCAAAACTTTGGGAAGAAACAGAATTACCTATTTCACATAGTGTCTCACATTTCTATTTTATAAGAAAACAAGTTTTAATTGGGTTAATTTGGAGCTAATTTGCTCCCTGGGAAGGCAGATGAACCCCCCAACTCCTGGCCAATGGAAGTACCAAGAGATTACTTCATATTTAAAGAATGGTGCCCGTTGTGTTATCCTCTTAACCGTGTGGTGTACAGAAGTATACCAAACCTGAAAGAGCAGGAAACTCCATCATGCCGAATTCATTTTAATCAGAGCTATTTTTTTTACATTCACTGACTAAAAATGTCTTGGGTGCTGTTTGTAAAGCTCGTGGTGAATTTTTGCCACAAGATGGCATTGGTGATTATTGAATGCATGTTGAATTGACCCAGAATTCCAAAAAATGGTGCATATAATTGTATTCTTTTGGGGATGAGTTGAAAACTTTCATCACTGCTTATATATTAATTTTGTTTTGGCTACTAAAACAGGGTTAAATGCTACTTTACATCACTTCTTTCTGTATTCAAGTATTGTTTTGTTTCCTGTTTTTCTGTCTTTATAACTACAGTAACTATGTATTATTTGCTCTGTGTTGTATGTGTCTGACTTATTGCTGATAATTGTGGTAACAGGTAAGAAGAAAATACGATGGGACCCAGTTAGGAGGCGCTTCATTCAGTCCTGTCCCATCATAAGGATCCCTAACAGGTTTTTGAGAGGTGGGTGATAACTAGCAAGAGATCTGTGCTTCATTTGGGTTAAAGGGAACTTTGAATGAACTTTCTAAACTTGAAACTCTGGTTTTTAAAAATTGTCTAAACAGCTAAAATTGGAGTAAGAAAAGTCTCAAACTTAATTTTAAGACCATGTTTCATATTGACTACTGTTGAAATTGTAATCATAAATTTTAGGGAGTTAGAATCCCTTTGTACGCATTTGAGAGTAGAAGTAAATCATCCCACTGATATCACTGTTATTCCACTATAACCATATTAAAAAGAACTTTGAGTAATTTATCCAATATGGGTATAGGAAAGAGTTTCCTAAATATGATTCTAAGGAAGAGATAAAGATTAATTAATGTGGCTGTATAAAATTAAAATCCTCTTATTTAAAAAACCATAAATAAGAAGATATAAAGTGGGACTATATGTAACAAATGGTTAATATTATGAATATATAAAAAGCTCTTATAAATTAATAGTTTAAAAGCAAATGCCCACTAGAAAAATAGGTGAAACAATATGAATAGGTAAGAAAATATGTATCAGTTTATAAAAAGAAACTTCAGTAAAGATGAACAAATATTTATTTCCCCTATTGTTATAAACATGATGATTAAAATAATAGATATCATTTGCACCTATTAGATTCACAAAGACTAAAAATAAGTATACCCAGTGTGGCGAGGTTATGGGAAATGAAGCTCATATGTTGAAGGAGGTGTAAATTTAACAGCCCTTTGGATCAAATTTGTCACTTGTGTATCAAAAGCCTTAAAAATCTTCACATCCTTTGACCTTGCAATTCTTACTTTTAGAAATGTTACATTCCTTCTATTTTTGAATTTTTTCCACAAAAATGTACTCCTTAGTGACAAAAGAAAATCTCAGAGGAGAGTTACACTATTTCTAGATTTATAAATTATCAGACAAGCAAACTTAATGTTGTAATGTAGACTTTACTAAATGATTTTAACTGAAGAGATTATTAAAAAAAAAAACCCTAGAAAAAAATCTTGTAGCTGCTATAGATGTTTCCATATCTAGTACCTAACTTATTTTTAGCAGCCAAACTCCAGAACATGAAAAGAATAAAATCTATCTTAAGTGGGTCAAGATAAGATACTTAGGATGGTGTGCTACCTTTTAGCATCAATAAATTATTTTATTGGTACAAATTAAGGTGTGATGTTAGTGTTATGTGACAGAAGGACCACTGGGCAAACACGTGACCAAGCAGGCACATTTAAGTCTGTAACTTCTTTTCCTTTTTTTCAATTTATAAATTAGAATGTTAATTTATTGATTTACAATGAGAAAGCTAACTTGGACTAAATTTAAGTGTAATTAAGAAAATCGTTTAATTAGGATATACTATTTAATATAATATAAATTTTGTACAAATATAAACATAAAAACCAAAAGAAATAGTGAAATAATTGTATACCTGATGGTAGGATTTTCTTTTCTTTTGTGTATTCTTTGTTTTTCAACTTTTTAATTATGGAAAAAAGAGATTAGCACAGGTAAGTGTTCTACCTTTGATTTTTCTGCAAGCCCTGAATGGCCTCAAACAGTGGCTGAGGAGGGTGGTCTCGATGCCGAGGGGAGGGGGGCGGGAGCAGACTCAGGAGCCGACATCAAGGTCCCCGTGACGGCCTCGGCATCAGTGGCCTGTCTTAGTTCACACCTTCTTTGACCTGCTCGTGGTGTTTGATGCTGTTGACCCCCTGCACCTTCTCAGAGTTTTCTCTTCTTTTGGGTTACTTCACTGTAAAATCCTGGATGTTTTCTTCCTACTTCTTTGATTGTTCATTCTGTTTTCTTCACTGGCTTCTTCCTTCCTGCCCACGAAAGCTGGGCGTTGCTTCAGTGTTCTGTCCTCTCCATCATCCCCTTTGGTTATCTCATCAGCTTTCACAGCCTCAACTATCTTCGTTCGTTCGTTCGTTTGCTCATTCTTTCATTCTTTCGGTATTTCTTGATTGCCTGTCAAGTAACAGGCACTGTGCTAGCTCAGTGATCTAGATAATAGAGAATCAGGTAAAGAAAGAGTTGTAGAATACCTTTAGTGTGATTCTTTGTGATAAGTGTCCTGATGAGGTAGTATGGTATGGGAACATACAGAAGAGGTACCCAGCTCAGCTTGTGGGAGGGTGGAGAGAGAGGGGTGGTCATTAGGATGATTTTTCAGAAGAGATGTACTTAAAGACCGAGTGGGTGTTGGCAAGGGGAGGTAGGAACATCCCAAAACCATGCGACCAACTAGCTGGAGTAATGGCAACGGGCAAAACAGCATGGCCTTTCAGAGAACCGTCAAGTTCAGCTCAGTGGGAAAGTACATGGAGAGGAGCTAGAGAGGGCCCGCATCAAGTGGGGCACCGCCCAAGGGGAGTTTTGAGGACCTGCTTGTTTTTTAATTAGTGAAGAGGTTTAACTGAAAGTCTAGTTACAAGGTCATTACAGTTATCAAGGTAAGAAATGATGGCAGCTACAAATAAGGCAGCTGTAGTAGGAACAGAGAGCAGGGAATTGATCTGAAGTCTAAGGAAGTGGGGTTAGATGAGACTTAACTGACTGAAGAGGAGGGAAAAGTCGGGAGAGCTCCCAGCTCCCTGCATGGGTCATTGTGCTTGTTACCAGGTGCTCCGTAAATGAAAGGAGGAGCAGACTGAGGGGGAAGGGGGCAAACTCAGTTTCATCCCCTGAAACCAAAATAGTGTATCTTTGAACACTCACTCTAAGAGTTATTTCCTGGGAAACCTCTTTTGAAGATGATTTTTTGTTCTCATGGCACCCTGTGTACCCGCCTGTATCATACACTTATCACACTGAATTATACTCGTATATGCCTGCTGTAGACTGTAAGCTCTGTAAGGGCAGGGACAGTGGGACAGTGCCTTTGAGTGGAGTTGAATTATTTGTAAGGCCACTGTCAGGGAATAGGGTGGGACTAAAAATTTAGTACATTCTCAACTTCTCTCCGGTGGTGGTGACAGCAAACGGATGAGTTGCTGAGAACATGAAGATGCTGTGGTTTAGTGTTTACTTACATTAAAACAATACTTACCTAGCCCTGGCTGGTATGGCTCAGTGGTTGAGTGCTGGCCTGCGAATCAAAGGGTCACTGGTTCGATTCCCAGTCTAGGGTACATGCCTGGGTTGCGGGCCAGGTCCCCAGTAGGGGGTGCACAACAGGCCACTACACATTGATGTTTCTTTCCCTCACTTCCTCCCTCCCTTCCCCATCTCTAAAAATAAATACATAAAATCTTAAAAAAAACAAAACAAAAAACAAACAAAAAAACCAATACTTACCTATACTCTTGAAATTTCCCCTTTTGAGACTCTCATTTTGGGAATCCTCTACATTACCTCTGTTGATACTGATTGAACACAGTTGCATGGGGCTTGTTTTCTGCCACTGGATTATTTTACTCAATCCTGTATCTTCTCTAAAAGATATTTCTAGCAATTAAAATTGTGTGGTATGAAAACAATACTGGGGTAGTGAAAACAATGAGTTTCCACTGATGGACCTAACACACCCATTTACTTTTCCATACTTCTCAGATATCACTGAAAATGACAACACAGACACATGAAAAAGAATAAATCCTAATTGTATTGAAAAACGGAAAAGGGAGGCTTTGAAGCCAGATTACCTAGGTCTGAATCCAGGCTCTGCCATTTACCAACTGAGACTTTGGGCAACCTACTTACTCGTTTTTTGGTCTCAATTTCCTCATTTGTAAAATTAGGATGATGATATAATAGTATCTACTTCCTAGGGTTGTTTTGAGGCTCAAGAGAGATAATATGAGCAAAGCATATTAGAAGAGGGTTTTTTTAAAAAAAGAGTTTTTCCATTTAGTCAATGTTTTACATTTAGGCAATTCATGTTAGCTATCATTCTTATTATTGCTATTATACCAGAAAATTGGTAGAATTTAGGATAATAGAAAGCAGTTGGAATTATAAAGATTGAAAAATGAGAACAGAATAAAATGCAAGCTCAAATAGGTGCTTCTGCTGCATGCTGGAAGTCAGGAGAATTTCTTAGTGAGGCCCCTTTTCTGAAACTCTAAGCTTAAAGTCAGTAAATGTAGAAGGGAGGAGAAGGCTGGGGGAAGATGAAACATCAGAGCAAATAATTAAGAGACTGTCTCTAAAACAGTTATTTCCCCTACTCCCTCTCTCTCTCCATATGAAGAGCTCTGGCAATGGCATTAGTACCCAGGGCAAAGCTAGAAAACAGCTCTTTATGCAAAGGATGGCATTTGCTTTGGGGAGGGTTGGTAAACAGTGCTCTTATGAATTGGGGCTGGAGAGCGGGTACAAGCACAAACCAGAGCTTTAGGTAATGGATCTCCACAATAGTGGTGGGTGAGGGGGGGTCCAATGGGAGAGGAAAAGAAAGAGCTCCATCAAGGATTAGGACCATACCATTAAAGGACCAAAGGACCATCTAAATGCAGCCCACCTTTGTTGGCAATAGTAAGGGAAACTGCTTTTTCTCCACGTCTGAAGAGAAGCCTGTCTGTCAGTGCACCGCTTCCCTGCAGAGACCCACAGTCAGACCGGGCTCCCGTTGGAGGACTGGAGATGGAGCCACACAGCTGTTGAGGAAATTCATACCTCCGACAGTTGCCAATCAACGTAGCCCTGTATTTATTAATATGAATAAGTGATCAAAGCCCACTGGACAGTTGCGGGAAGCTGGACTTGAAAGACTAAGCTGAATGAATAAAACAGCTGACTGCGGTAGAAACAGGTAATGAGGAAGCAGATTGGAGCTTTAGGAAGTTCTGATAATGGGAGGTTTCCTCAGAGTCAAGAGTAAAGTGGGTCCATAGATAAAACAGTTGCTATGGAGAAAAAGGAATAATTAAAGAATTAGTTCTATATTGAAGACTTGATTGCTGAAATAAAAATGCAGTTGAAGGCTTAAATATATAGGTTTAAGGTCAATCTTTATGAAAATAAAATAAAGGAAA